GTCCATCAATGCTGCTTGACGGGATAGTTGCTTTTCCTCGAAGTCCATGTTTGGATGAAGCGAATCCAATGAGAAACCGCACACCAATCCCAACAGTTCATTGCGTGAAGCCCATTGCTGAGCAATTAATGCATCAAAATTGTTCAGCAAATTTGATAGTTCGTCTCCTTGTTTTGCTGACAGAAAGCAGGCAGTCACCAACCAGTCAAAAGTCAAAGTGTAAAACGATAAAAACATTCAAACAAACAGAACGGAAGGTCTGAAAGCCGAAAGCAAGCCTCGAAAAGTTGAAGTGATCAAGTCTTTGTTTCTGACCCTTCGTAGTCCAGCAATGATCGCTGAAGGTTTCTGTGCACGTCCACGAGACATGGAGAGGTTGATTAAATGGTGACGCCCCTCCAATCGCTCCATCACTAGAAGGGAAGATCCATACCCAATGAATAGATCCCTCAATTCGTTAGATAATGGCTGACCTTCAATCCAGCTTACCAGTTCCCCACGGCTTGTAGGATCCCCAAAAATGTTCCATGTAGCAAATCCAAACTCGGACTTCCCAGGTTGGTTGTCAAAGGTTTCCAAAAGATCTCTGGCCATTGATCGTGAAGCGGTCTCAGGATGATTTGGGTTCACAAAATGTGAAGCCAGTTCTAAAATACTGTAAGGTAGGGATCCCCAGAAGGACCATGCCTGGATACATCTCATCTCCATGCTTGCCTTACATTCTTGGAAAGATGTCATAAGGAAATCCCCCCATTCTGATTGGCCACAGTCTCGCAGTCTTGCTATGGCTTCCAAAGCTGCCGGAGTCAGCGACAGTGATTTGAGCTCAGCCAGAAATGAACGCCACTTCCCAGAAGCCATCTCGACTCCCCTTCTCCCTTTGAGAGTGCACCTACCTTTCTCTTTCTCAGTTTTGTGGTGTACGCACATGCACCCATGCATCCACACACTGACTGATGCTCCCCAATCAGAAAGAACTTGAACCACCATGCATGTCGACCAAAACTTGTGTCCATCCGGGGAATCCAGAGAGGATACAGATGTCAAATGTTCCAGCTCATGTTGAGTCATTTCCTTTGAATCAGTAAATCCCGCATCAGTGAATAGAAATGCAAATGCAGCACGTCGTCGCATCACCCACAGTAGAACATGATACCTGGTAGTTCGCTTTCATATGGTCAATACAAACATATGTGTATATAAATACAAATATATATATATATATATCAAAATATATTAACGCATATATACACATACATACATACATACATACATACACACACATTGCATTACATTACATTGCATTACATTACATTACATTGCATTCCATTCCATTACATTCCATTCCATTGCATTCCATTACATTCCATTCCATTGCATTGCATTCCATTACATTACATTACATACATATTCTAGGTGTAATTTAATATGTATATATATATTATATCAATATTTCAAAAAACAAACATAAAGTAGTATTAAAGTATTAGGCTATTAAATAGCGGCTATGATCATCACAATTAAACAGCATGACACTACCTTTGCTGGCTAGAAACACATACTGCCATCGTTGTGAGTACATGGTTGGGCAAGTGGTCTGGAACATTGACATGAAGCTCTGCTTGAGTCTGGGATCCTTGCCAATGTTTTCCAAATAGAAGGTCAGTTGGAAACAAAGTGTAATTTCAGCTGTGGAAACATTCCCCCAAAAAGAAAAATGTTTCATTCTGAGAAACTTCAGAACAGGCTAGGCTATACCCCAAATCTTCTGGGTTAAGCAGCAGATGGGTTTGTCTGAAAATATGATCCATCTAATTCCAGTCATCTATCATCACTTTCCCTTTTCAAATTGCCATTCTTGGGTATACCACGTATTACCTACTTTCAGACAAACCTGTACTCTCCCCATATTGTTGGTTATATACATTGAATCCCATACATATATATATATATATATATGCAGATATACGCATAGAATGGTTGCTATTGCACCCCATGTTTGAGATAAATTATCCCCATTCTATCCTCACTAGCCAAGTTTGTCTGAAAATAAGATACCCCAAATCTCACAGCTGTGTTACTAAAACAACAACCACCCCAAAAAAAAAACAACACTATTAAAAGACAATTGCAAGGTTCAGGAATTTTGGGGTTCTGTTGGATACAGATTTTGCTGAATCTATTGCAGCGCGAAATGTTGGAAAAGAAGAGGCTGAGAGAATGTAATCTCGGCTGGAAATATTCTGCCCACTTGAATGAATCCTCCAGGCATTCCATCACCTTAGCAGCTTCAGGGTTTGAAAGAGTAACCTGAATTGTGATGTTGGTAAGTAGTTCGAACCATAGGCCTCCCTCCCGCCGAAACAAACAAAAATAACAAATGGAACACCACGAAACATGATGTAGCGAGTGATCATGGTCTGGTATTGGCAAGGCTAACGGAAAAATGTTGTCTGAAGGTAGGGATTCTTCAATGAAAGAACTTGGTGAACGGTATACTGCAGATTCTGCTCCCCAATCAAATAGGATAGACAATGTCCTCTTCAAGGTTCCTGCAAGACTTTCTGACTCCTTGGATTGGCCACTAGGTCCAGGTAATAAGGAATGGCATGTGCAACACATAATATGTCAAAATTGGTTCGCCAAAAGCCACAAAACAAAAACTCATGAGATCGATGTTGGGCAACAATCGAGATTCCAACGATAGGGCGTGCAACAATTTGCGTGTTTTCACCATGGCGCCAGATGCCCTTGCGCCTACCATTTGCCCCACCAAAAGTCGAGTATAAAGTACTCCTTCCCTTCCAATGTCCAACCACGACCCCACACCAGCCAAGTACACAATGTCACATTCGCCCATCAGAAAATCACGCCCAAACTGCGGACTACTATCTATTCGACAATGTACCACCCACTTTGCCTCCAACCCAAAGCGATACTTTCTAGCCCAAAGCATTGAGGCCAGGTCCAAGTCTACACGATAATGGTAAAGGGTTGCATGCTTCGGTACACTGATGTCCTTGGCAACATCCATCCACCCAGTCAAACAATTTCAAACAATATTTCATTTCATGTCCAACCAAATCAAAAATTAACGCGAATTACATTACCCCATATACCAACGCTCACGTACGCTTTATTGGAATGATGGTAAAAGACAAAAATTAATTATGCCCAGGTAACTTGTTGCATGATGTGGGCCCGAAGCTCTGGGGAGACAAGCATACCCAAAGACCTCAAATTGCTGGTATTGTGAAATGCCCTTTGTCTTCATATCATGTCACGTACTGTATCAAAATTCAATGGGAATAACAAAATAGGAAGTAAGAAGTGCTTGGCTTCAGAACCCAGATGCTCCTCAAGTACATCGCTCATATCATCCAAGCATTTGATTCTATCAGACATGAGGACAGCATCAAGGATGTAACTTGGCTTGTAGCCAAATCCACCCTTCTCCCGGCTTTGTTTCCCTGATACAGCCTGCAGTTGGACGGTGGAAGCCACAACAAAATAACGCAAACATGTTCCGTCATGTTTGAAACTTTGAAACCAGTAGGAATGAAACGAAACTAAAGATTATATACAAAACAGCCTGATTTGAACATCATGAAACAATGAAACGTACATTAAATCTTTCTGAAAATCTAGCAAGTAACTTCCAGTAGTTGGTTCAACTGGCTCAGATTGGAAAGAGCTTCTTGCTGATTCAAACCATGAAGGACATGTCGTATAGACCCAATGAGTTTGTCAATTTCGGACTGGGTAGTCTCAACAGCTCCAGGCCCCGTTGCCGAAGACACTGCAACTAACGAACAGCTATCAGCACCCGGGTGCACAGAAATTATGGAAGTAGGTTTTCTGCCCAATCTCTGTAGAGCTGATTGAATTTCCAACCAATGTGAATTCTTCCGATCCCATGGGCAAGTGAGGCGTACCAAATGTTCGACATCTTTGATAGTGGACTCCTTTGGTATGCAATCATATTCAACAGTCCCAGATTGAAACGTCATTTTGGCATTCCCATCGACACATTCCCCCTTCAGGAGAAACCGATCTTCATCCGGTAACACAGTGTTGGACCTTCTACCTCTCATCTTTGAAGCCGATTTGATTTGTTCAACAAAATCAAAAGAACATATATCCAGCGTGGCCCCGATGTCCCTGACTGATAAACCTGTATAGTACGCTCCATCCCGATGCCACACCCAACAAACACCGCTTTGCGGTAGTTGGTAACTTCCCTGTTTCCCTTGATTGCCCTCAGTGCTTCGAGAATGCGATGCCGTACTTCGCCGCTGTAAAGGGCCAAACTCACCGGAATCATCGTCATCCATGATGATTCAAAAGTAAACCATGGCAAAGCCCCGAGGAGTCGTTTGCTACGAAAGATTCTGGTGTATGGTACATATGCATTTAATACGATGTATATATATATGCCTATCTATCTATCGATCGATCTATCTATCTATCTATCTATCTATCTATCTCTCTATCTATCTCTCTATCTATCTATCTATCTATCTATCTATCTATCTCTCTATCTATCTATCTATCTATCTATCTATCTATCTATCTAACTGTTCACATTTGTGTGTATTTGTTTGTATATATGTATAATATCAAAATTATGTTCATTTTTTGGTACCTGCAATGTGACTTCCATGTTCACATGTCATGATATGTATTGAACAACTTCCAGTTCTCCTAGTTTTGCAGTGTTGTGGCATAGGTGGGTTCATTTCTTTTGAGATCCAAAAGCAGCAAATACCACAAGAATTTACAACTTGGTTGGCTAAATCACCAAATCATCAGCAACACTATCATCATTCATTAAACATAAACCTAATATAACACAACTACTTGCTCGACCTTGCTCGACCATGATGGCCTTCATTTCAAAAAATCCCAACTAGAAAACTATGACTTTAAAGTCACCCCTCCCTGGGACACACTGGATGTGTTCCAAACCTAATTTTTAGATCGTGGCTGGAATCAGTAGCCTTGGGTAACGAAGCGCTTGCCCGCATAGGCCGCCAGGAGCTGCCACCCACGAGCTGCAGGACGAGCTGCACCTGACGCCGGCACAGCCTTGGAGAAATTCCAGGCGACAAAAACGCCTTCCTGCAGCAGGGTGTAATGGGCTCCCCGCAAGCTGTGGACGTGGGGATCACCCCCAACAGTTCCATCATTTGGAGGAGTCGTTCCATCATTTGGGGGAGTCGCGAGACAGGCGCAAACCCGTTGGCCAGAAGGAGGAAGTGCAGTGCACGTCATGAGCTCCGGATTTGAGGTCATCAAGCACTCTATGTCAATACCAAAAGTAGCACTTTGAATGTTGAGCGCAGGCAAGCCTGCATCTGCCTGTGAAGACTCGCTATTGCAGCCACTGCCTCCACCCGCTATAACACCTCCGTTCCATGCAGCCAGAAATTGCAGAATTTGAGTGGTAAGAGTTTTCATCAGTGGTAGATTGCAACCGTTTTGGCACTTGTCATTGCAGCTTTTGCCTCGGTAAACCGCGTGTCGTGGGTGTGTTGGGTGTTTCTCACCGGAGTTTCAGTTCTGTAATTTCCCAAGTAACATTCAATTTCATTATGGTCACTTGAGCCATTATCCAATCCACACAAAAAAAATGTTCGCCAATCCCTAATCATTGGACACGCAGAAAACACAATAGTGCAGCGAATGAACTCAACCAGCCAAGAAAACGGCTCAGGCAAGCTTCTGATCAAAAAAAACAATCCAACACACCAGGCTAATCGGCTACATTCCACACGACCAATCCTCGCCTCCAACAGAACAAAAGACCTGTCTATCTGACTCCCTGATTAGACACGCAGAATGATAAACAAATGCCATGCAAGAACTTAGCCAGAAAACAAGCATTTCCTGAGACAGCATGCCATGACAACAGCACCCACACGGACAATTGAAACACACACACGACACGTCGCCCCTGACGAAGCTGAGCTCAGGCTCGGATACTCCACCATAACGCAACCAGCACTTCTGCAAAAAAAACTGGTGAAACACCGAGAAACCGCCGACACGATACACCTGACTCCAACAAATATACGATCCAAACACATCCAAACCCAACTCTTCGCCGCAGCCACACAAGAAGCTCAACGAATCACAAAAACCGTTTGACTTTTCCAGACAGAACATGATCATGGGACGTGAGAAGATTTACAAGTCGAGAAGAATCGGCGACTTGTTTCCGACCCAAATACATTTTATGTACTAAAGCACATGGAACTCAGGTAGCTTTGTCTCGGCTACATCGGCTACCTTTTGTGGTTAAAACTTAAAACAGGACGAATGACTGCAAATCATGCAACTTGTGTTTTTCTTTTTTCATGATTCTTATACAAATTCATGAAATTGTTGCTCCCAGTTCTCTGTCCAAACATGCATATAACATCATATTATACAACCAGCTCCGCTTCCATCCAGCGACCTGCATCTGCCAAAACCCAGCCATTGACCTGGCCAGCATTGAGTTGGACCATGGAGGCCACATCCTGGGACCCACCGTTGCCGTTGAAACCACACGTCTCTCCTACGCAGGCTTCGTTGTCCTGACAGGGAGAAATCACAGGGGCCCATGACATGGCTGCAGCACTCTGACCTATGATACCTATGAAAGAAACAAACATTAAAGACTGTTGTCGACAAAAAATGCTTGGTGTTCTCAGGACTCTAACTTGTCCGCGAATTTGCATTGTCAATGGTGGCGGTTCCATTGTGGCTCCCTATGCAAAAAAAAACATTCGTCAAACCAGCCACGATGGACCTATCAATTCTATGAGAATCAAACATTCATATTCCTCGGTACCCGGTTTACCCACACCCCGCATTTTTGTGGATCGTCCGGGTCCTGGGACACCACGAGCGACCACAAATACATTGAGAACAGAATCGCAAAGGCCGCCATTGCGGGACCCGTCAGGGAGAGTACAGTACCAAAGCGCGATTGCCTTGAGGAGATTAAAATCTTAATACGGCTTCCGCGTGGCAACGTCATAACGGAGCACACCTGCACAGCTCCAAAGTCAACACGGTTTTTTATGTCTGACCAAAAATCACAATAGACCGGTTATAAACCAGAATGAACGTCAATGAACCACCATGAACTTTGATGTGCATCCCAGGCATTGCAGGTGTAACAACCATGAAGATAAGCCAGCTAGATTCGTGGGCAGCTATACCCCCCATGAAACTCAATCCCTTTCTGAAAGTTGATGCCCATTCGAGTTTGTCTGAGAAAAATGGCTACCTCCCGAAAAAATTGATGCTTCATCAATGTTCGTCCTCGTTTTTCCATCATTTTGGGGGGCCCATGGCCCCATGGGAAAAACACAAACACCCTTTCCAGGCGCTGCAACAACAACATTCCAGGGCCAAGCTACGAATCCACTTCCTTGGATCGTAGTAGCTCTTGTTGGGCTTGTCCTGGCTGCCCGACTCTTCCCAGCTGCTGCTCCAGAAGGGCGGGCCCCGTTTTTGTTTTTCAAGTTCTGGAGTCATTTTTGCCCCAGAACTATGCCTGGTATGAATGTAGGTCCTGGTAAGGTATGAGAGAATACTAGATTTATGTAGTCGTGTAAGGTGTAGTGATGTATATGATGTATGCGTATCGGTTCAATATTGGGGTGCTGCATCACTGGATACTATCCAACATCGTGGGAACCCTTCAGTAAACTGACTGGGATACGGACATCCACCCTTCGTGGATCATCTCCTAGGGGAAAAACATGGTGTTTTCTGTGTGTTCCATATCCACATGAAACTTTACCTCAGGAAATAATTCGCTTGTCCGAAAATGGGCCCAAAATCCACTGCTTCATCATCATGTTCTTCAAATTGCCATCATTTTGGGGTTGTTTTTCCCCTGCTGAAAATGGTTGGCACGTCCTCGCCCTCAGGGTTGCCGATCTGGCCCTGCAAATAGCCCTCTTTGGCTCGGTAGAAGTTCAGCAAACCTAGCGGAATGTTGTCAGGGATGGGGTGGATCAGCGCGTTGCAGGAAAGATGGGAAGCCTTCCTGGCGTTACCAGTCAAGGCAGGTCGTGCAGAGCTTCCTTTCACCAATGAAAGGAAGCAAGTTGTGAGTGAGTTGCGACAGGTGGAAAAGCAATAATTCTGCATAAATTACAATCATTCACTAATCCGAAAAGTGTGGCTTGGATAGAGCCCCTACTTACCAGTGCATTTATCCATACGTATAATTTGATTCCATTAAGATTCAATATTGGGTCTTGATACTACTCCTGGTAGCAACTGAGTTATTACACAATGAACACCATCCATTAATATCCATTATTATAACTTGTAAATGCACATCTTCTACGATCATTCCCAAAGCCAGAAACTTGGAGCGACTTCATCCCCGCTTCATCCCCAGGGGTTCACCTTCCCAGTAGGCCCACTGAGTGTCAGTGTCCACGTTCATCTTGCAGACCTCGGGAGGAATGATTCGGCACGGAACTCCAGGATGACCCAGGATGACAGTCGATCAGGACATCCCTCCAGGACTAGAAACATCACCATGTTTTTCGGGGGTAAGTGGCCACTAACGTGATCACCTTGTTCCCGTCAAGGGAAATTGAAGACTTCAGGACTGTCAGGACTCATCAAAAAAAATTACTTTACTTCGTGTGATCCCCACCATGACATTTATAGATTTTCTTACTGGCAAATCTTCTGGCATTCTATCTGACATATCTTCTGGCATTCTATCTGACATATCTTCTGGCATTCTATCTGGCATTCTATCTGGCATATCTTCTGGCATATATTCTGACATATCTTCTGGCATTCTATCTGGCATATCTTCTGGCATTTCTTCTGGCATATCTATCTGGCATATCTTCTGGCATCTTTCTGGCATTCTATCTTATCTATCTGGCATTCTATCTGGCATATCTTCTGGCATTCTATCTGGCATATTCTCTTCTGGGCTATCTCTTCTGGCATGGCTATCTGGCATATCTTCTGGCATATCTTCTGGCATATCTTCTGGCATATATTCTGGCATTCTTCTGGCATTCTATCTGGCATTCTATCTGCATTCTGGCATTCTGGCATTCTATCTGGCATATCTTCTGGCATATTTCTGGCATATCTTCTGGCATATCTATCTGGCATTCTATCTGGCATTCTTCTGGCATATCTTCTGGCATATCTTCTGGCATTCTATCTGGCATTCTATCTTCTGGCATTCTATCTGGCATCTGGCATTCTATCTGGCATATCTTCTGGCATATCTTCTGGCATATATTCTGACATATCTTCTTCTATCTGGCATTCTATCTGGCAATCTTCTGGCATTCTATCTGGCATATCTTCTGGCATTATATCTGACATATCTTCTGGCATTCTTCTGGCATCTTCTGGCATTCTATCTGGCATTCTTCTGGCATATCTTCTGGCATATCTTCTGGCATATCTTCTGGCACTCTATCTGGCATATCTTCTGGCATATCTTCTGGCATTCTATCTGGCATTCTATCTGGCTATCTTTCTCTATCTGCATTCTTTGCACCCATATCTTTTCCTACATGCGGTCCGGCAGGGAACACTTGGCATGGATACTCGCGGTTGAGGTCCGGCAGGGAACACTTGGCATGGATACTCGCGGTTGAGGTCCGGCAGGGAACACTTGGCATGGATAGGTCCGGCAGGGAACACTGGGCGTGGATGGCCGTGGTAGAGGTCCGGCAGGGAACACTGGGCGTGGATGGCCGTGGTTGAGGTCCGGCAGGGAACACTGGGCGTGGATGGTCGTGGTTGAGGTCCGGCAGGGAACACTGGGCGTGGGTGGTCGTGGTTGAGGTCCGGCAGAGAACACTGTGGATCGCGGGTCGCAGTTGAGCCAGGACGACGAGGACGACGAGGACGACAAGGACGACAAGGATGACAAGGAGGACGAAGAGGAGGAGGAGAGGAGGACGAGGCAGGAGGAGGCGGAGGAGGAGCAGGAGGAGGAGGCAACTGACATAAAATCTAACAACCCTCACCTGGCAGGTGGGGAAGAAACTGTCCAAGATGGAAGAGCACCTCGTTTTTTTTCCATGGGTCTCCTTCCTCATCTTCCCGCAATTTCCCGCATCATCCCATCTCTTTGGCACCCACAAGGTGCTGCCGAGCTGCTCCGTTGTTGAGGGCCGTGGTGATGTGATGCTTCTCTGAGCCACTGCCGCCGTGGAAGACGAAGAAGAGCGGCTGCCAGGCGATGTCAAAAAGCCATGGAAATGCATGGTTGATTCATGGTTAATTCGTGTTGATTCATATTGATTCATTGATTCCCGTTCGGGAATGAATCTAGATTTCTGATTCTCCAAACCTTGTTGGTGTCTGTAGGGTGTCGCTAGGTTTTTGAGGTTTCACTGTGGTTTCCTATTTGAGTTCGTTTACGGGGCATGGTTTTGACCCACACCCAAATTTGCAACTCACCGTATTCCATATTGAAGTCACTCAACCTTAACATCCTTAAGTGTCCCTCGGAAAATGATGGATGTTGCGTTGCACGTATCCAATTCTCTGGCAAACTTACGGCTAATTTTTTTTCACACACACAAAAACTTCAATAAACCACAACCGCAGCCCCCACCTTGCTGACTCCTGTCTGCTTCTCCGCATAAGCTTGAAACTCGCCCAATAACTCTGGACGCAGCACCACATTACCAGCCTCCCCAAACCGCGGCCACCCCATGAGGCGATGATGCGATATGTTGACGTTGCGAAGATCTGTAGTCGTAAGTGAGACACAGGGAGCAATAAAAACAAAATCAAGATACCCTCTGGTAAACTAACATAGCTATGGTATAGATGGCCCATTTATAGATGGTTTACCTATTAAACATGGTGATTTTCTATAGCTATGTTAAATTACCAGAGGGTACATTTCGAAATCAAAAGTATCACAAGGGTCAAGGATGTGTGCACAACCAAAACCTGGAGGATCTAGAAAAAAAACAATGAGGACGGACGTTGCCATGCGACGGATGGCTCATTGTTTTGTGGTATCTTTTTCGCTTGAAAATCTCTCCAGTGGACTCAATCCAATCAATTCAAAAACAACATGGGGGTGTCCAAAATAATCGGGTACTGTAATAATTACGTAATACAAATCGTATGGGTTATCATATTTTATCATCGTTCTCACCATTTAAACGCACTGTTTTGGAGCACAGCAAAGCCACATCCCCTCCCAACCAGGCAAGATCAGTGCCATAAACCAGGCCCATGGATCACTTGAGCAGGCCTTGTAGACACCATGGACGTTCCCGAAGGCCGCTGCCTCGGCATGATTCGACTCTGGGAAACCGTGGCTGCCATAAACCTACGATAACTGGGGACTTGGTGTTGGTTCATACCACCCATAAAAGTGATCAGTGATGATTTTGCGGATGGTTTTTCCCCAGATAGCTGGCAAGCTATAGGGGTTCTTACTTCTCTTAGGTGGGGGTCTCCGGTGGCGAACTTTTGAGCCCAGGGTGCTGTGCAGGGTGCTGTCCAGACTGCGGTGGCGAAGTCTGGCAAAGGTGCTGTGCAGGGTGCTGTGCAGGGTGCTGTGCAGGGTGCTGTGCAGGGTGCTGTCCAGACTGCGGTGGCGAAGTCTGGCAAGGGTGCTGTGCAGGGTGCTGTGCAGGGTGCTGTGCAGGGCTGTCCAGACTGCGGTGGCGAAGTCTAGCAAAGGTGCTGTGCAGGGTGCTGTGCAGGGTGCTGGCCAGACTGCGGTGGCGAAGTCTGGCAAAGGTGCTGTGCAGGGTGCTGTGCAGAGTGCTGTTCAGACTGCGGTGGCGAAGTCTGGCGGGGGTGCTGTGCGGGGTGCTGTGCAGGGTGCTGTGCAGGGTGCTGTGCAGGGTGCTGTGCAGGGTGCTGTCCAGACTGCGGTGGCGAAGTCTGGCAAAGGTGCTGTGCAGGTTGCTGTGCAGGGTGCTGTCCAGACTGCTGTGGCGAAGTGTAGCAAAGGTGCTGTGCAGGGTGCTGTCCAGACTGCGGTGGCGAAGTCTGGCAAAGGTGCTGTGCAGGGTGGTGTGCAGGGTGCTGTCCAGACTGCGGTGGCGAAGTCTGGCAAAGGTGCTGTGCAGGGTGCTGTGCAGGGTGCTGTCCAGACTGTGGTGGCGAAGTCTGGCAAAGGTGCTGTGCAGGGTGCTGTGCAGGGTGCTGTGCAGGGTGGTGCAGGGTGCTGTCCAGACTGCGGTGGCGAAGTCTGGCAAAGGTGCTGTGCAGGGTGCTCTGCAGGGTGTTGTCCAGAGTGCGGTGGCGAAGTCTGGCAAAGGTGCTGTGCAGGGAGCTGTGCAGGGTGCTGTGCAGGGTGCTGTGCAGGGCTGTACAGACTGCGGTGGCGAAGTCTAGCAAAGGTGCTGTGCAGGGTGCTGTGCAAAGGTGCTGTGCAGGGTGCTGTGCAGGGTGCTGTGCAGGGTGCTGTCCAGACTGCGGTGGCGAAGTCTGGCAAAGGTGCTGTGCAGGGTGCTCTGCTGTGGGGTGCTGTCCAGACTGCGGCGGCGAAGTCTGGCAAGGGTGCTGTGCAGGGTGCTGTGCAGGGTGCTGTGCCGGGTGCTGTGCAGACTGCGGTGGTAGGGTGCTGTGCAGGGTGTTGTCCAGACTGCGGTGGCGAAGTCTGGCAAAGGTGCTGTGCAGGGTGCTGTGCAAGGTGCTCTGCAGGGTGTTGTGTAGAGTGCGGTGACGAAGTCTGGCGAAGGTGCTGTCCAGACTGCGGTGGCGAACTCTGGCAAAGGTGCTGTGCAGGGTGCTGTCCAGACTGCAGCGGCGAAGTCTGGCAAAGGTGCTGTGCAGGGGGCTGTGCAGGGTGCTGTGCCGGGTGCTGTGCAGAGTGCTGTTCAGACTGCGGTGGCGAAGTCTGGCAAAGGTGCTGTGCAGGGTGCTGTGCAGGGTGCTGTGCAGGGTGCTGTGCAGAGTGCTGTACTAGTGCGGTGGCGAAGTCTGGCAAAGGTGCTGAGGGTGCTGTGCAGAGTGCTGTTCAGACTGCAGTGGCGAAGTCTGGCAAAGGTGCTGTGCAGAGTGCTGTGCAGGGTGCTGTCCAGACTGCGGCGGCGAAAGTCTGGCAAAAATTGTGTGCAGGGTGCTGTGCAGGGTGTGTCCAGACTGCAGTGGCGAAGTCTGGCAAAGGTGCGGTGCAGGGTGCTGTGCAGGGTGCTGTGCAAGGTGCTGTGCAGGGTGCTGTGCAGGGTGCTGTGCAGGGTGCTGTCCAGACTGCGGTGGCGAAGTCTGGCAAAGGTGCTGTGCAGGGTGCTGTGCAGGGTGCTGTGCAGGGTGCTGCGCAGGGTGCTGTGCAGGGTGCTGTGCACGGTGTTGTCCAGACTGCGGCGGCGAAGTCTGGCAAAGGTGCTGTGCAGGGTGCTGTGCACGGGGCTGTCCAGACTGCGGTGGCGAAGTCTGGCAAAGGTGCTGTGCAGGGTGCTGTGCAGGGTGCTGTCCAGACTGCGGTGGCGAAGTCTGGCAAAGGTGCTGTGCAGGGTTCTCTGCAGGGTGCTGTCCAGACTGCGGCGGCGAAGTGTGGCAAAGGTGCTGTGCAGGGGGCTGTGCAGGGTGCTGTGCCGGGTGCTGTGGAGAGTGCTGTGCAGGGTGCTGTGCAGGGTGCTGTGCAGGGTGCTGTGCAGGGTGCTGTCCAGACTGCAGTGGCGAGTGCTCTGCAGACTGCAGTGACTGCAGTGGCGAAGTCTGGCGAAAATTGTGTGCAGGGTGCTGTGCAGGGTGTGTCCAGACTGCAGTGGCGAAGTCTGGCAAAGGTGCGGTGCAGGGTGCTGTGCAGGGTGCTGTGCAAGGTGCTGTGCAGGGTGCTGTGCAGGGTGCTTGCAGGGTGTTGGTGGCGAAGTCTGGCAAAGGTGGGTGCTGTGCACAATGCTGTGCAGGTGCTGTCCAGACTGCGGTGGACAAGTCTGGCAAAGGTGCTGTGCAGGGTGCTGTGCAGGGTGTCCAGACTGCGGTGGCGAAGTCTGGCAAAGGTGCTGTGCAGGGTGCTCTGCAGGGTCTGGCAAAGGTGCTGTGCAGGGTGCTGTGCAGGGTGCTGTGCAGGGTGCTGTCCAGACTGCGGTGGCGAAGTCTGGCAAAGGTGCTGTGCAGGGTTCTCTGCAGGGTGCTGTCCAGACTGCGGCGGCGAAGTGTGGCAAAGGTGCTGTGCAGGGGGCTGTGCAGGGTGCTGTGCCGGGTGCTGTGGAGAGTGCTGTGCAGGGTGCTGTGCAGGGTGCTGTGCAGGGTGCTGTCCAGACTGCAGTGGCGAGTGCTCTGCAGACTGCAGTGACTGCAGTGGCGAAGTCTGGCAAAAATTGTGTGCAGGGTGCTGTGCAGAGTGCTGTTCAGACTGCAGTGGCGAAGTCTGGCCAAGTTGCTGTGCAGGGTGCTGTGCAAGGTGCTGTGCAGGGTGCTGTGCAGGGTGCTGTTCAGACTGCGGTGGCGAAGTCTGGCAAAATTGCTGTGCAGGGTGGTGTGGAGGGTGCTGTCCGGACTGCAGTGGCGAAGTCTGGCAAAGGTACTGCGCAGGGTGCTGTGAAGGGTGCTCTGCAGGGTGCTGTGCAGGGTGCTGTGCAGGGTGCTGTGCAGGGTGCTGTGCAGCGTGCTGTGCTTTGCTTCCCAAGTTGGGAACCATCAGTTCCAACCTTTAGGAACTGGAAGTTCTTTGCAATGGTAACCTATGGTTCCCAGGTTGGGAAGCATGAGTTCCAACCTCTGGTAACCGGCAGTTGCTTGCAATGGTAACCTTTGGTTCCCACGTTGGGAACCATCAGTTCCAACCTTTAGGAACTGGAAGTTCATTGCAATGGTAACCTATGGTTCCCAGGTTGGGAAGCATGAGTTCCAACCTCTGGTAACCGGCAGTTGCTTGCAATGGTAACCCATGGTTCCCAGGTTGGGAACCAGGAGTTCCAACCTCTGGGAACCGGCAGTTCCTTGCAATGGTAACCTGTGGTTCCCACGTTGCTAACAGTGAGTTCCAACCTTTGGGAACGGGCAGTTCCTTGCCATGAACCAAACGCAAACATTCCGGTACCGGTCCATTAAGCAAAACAAAGCGTTCTTTACCGGTCCATTAAGCAAAACCATAAATTGTAAAGAAACTGTTTTCATATCATTTGAACATGCACCTTTTTCTTGCAAAAACATTTTTATGCCGGCCCAACAGCCAAACGCAAACATTCCGCTACCGGTCCATTAAGCAAAACAAAAGGTTCTGTTACCGGCTCAGTAAACAAAACAAAACAAAACAACATTAAGAACCATGAGTTCTAACTTTTTGCAATCAACAGATCCTTCAACTGGTAACGTATGCTTTTTCAGGCTTGGAACCATGAGTTTCAAGCTTTGAGAACCCGCAGTTCCTTACAATGAAAGCCGCTTAGCTTCGAAAACATAAATTCTAACTTCTGGGAACCGGCAATTCCTTGCAATGGTAACCTCTGGTTCCCAGATTGGGAACCGTAAGTTTCAAGGTCTGGGAACCGGCAGTTCCTTGCCATGGTAACCTTTGGTTCCCACGTTGGGAACCATCAGTTCCAACCTTTAGGAACTGGAAGTTCATTGCAATGGTAACCTATGGTTCCCAGGTTGGGAAGCATGAGTTCCAACCTCTGGGAACCTCTGGTTCCCAGGTTGGGAACCATGACTTCTAACCTGTGGGAACCGGCAGTTCCTTGCAATGGTAACCTGTGGTTCCCACGTTGGCAAGCGTGAGCTCCAACCTTTGGGACCCGGCAGTTCCTTGCCATGAACCAAACGCAAACATTCTGGTACCGGTCCATTAAGCAAAACAAAGCGTTCTTTACCGGTCCATTAAGCAAAACCATAAAGTTGTAAAGAAAATGTTTTTATATCATTTTGACGTGCACCTTTTTCGTGCAAAAGCATTTTTATGCCGGCCCAGCAGCCGAACGCAAACATTCCGCTACCGGTCCATTAAGCAAAACAAAAGGTTCTGTTACCGGCTCAGTAAACAAAACAAAACAACATTAAGAACCATAAGTTCTAACTTTTTGGAATCAACAGATCCTTCCACTGGTACCGTATGCTTTTTCAGGTTTGGAACCATGAGTTTCAAACTTTGGGAATCTGCAGTTCCTTACAATGATAGTTGCTTAACTTCGAAAACATAAATTCTAACTTCTGGGAACCGGCAATTCCTTGCAATGGTAACCTCTGGTTCCCAGGTTGGGAACCGTAAGTTTCAAGGTCTGGGAACCGGCAGTTCCTTGCCATGGTAACCTTTGGTTCCCACGTTGGGAACCATCAGTTCCAACCTTTAGGAATTGGAAGTTCTTTGCAATGGTAACCTATGGTTCCCAGGTTGGTAAGCATGAGTTCCAACCTCTGGGAACCAGCGGTTGCTTGCAATGGTAACCTCTGTTTCCCAGGTTGGGAACCATGAGTTCCAACCTGTGGGAACCGGCAGTTCCTTGCAATGGTAACCTGTGGTTCCCATGTTGGCAACCGTGAGTTCCAACCTTTGGGAACCGGCAGTTCCTTGCCATGAACCAAACGCAAACATTCTGGTACCGGTCCATTAAGCAAAACAAAGCGTTCTTTACCGGTCCATTAAGCAAAACCATAAAATTGTAAAGAAACTGTTTTCATATCATTACCGGCTCAGTAAACAAAACAAAACAACGTTAAGAACCATGAGTTCTAACTTTTTGCAATCAACAGATCCTTCCACTGGTAACGTTACTTTTTCAGGTTTGGAACCATGAGCTTCAAGCTTTCGCAACCGGCAGTTCCTTATAATGATAGCCGCTTAGCTTCGAAAACATAAATCCTAACTTCTGGGAACCGGCAATTCCTTGCAATGGTAACCTCTGGTTCCCAGGTTGGGAACCGTAAGTTTCAAGGTCTGGGAGCCGGCAGTTCCTTGCCATGGTAACCTTTGGTTCCCACGTTGGGAACCGTCAGTTCCAACCTTTAGGAACCGGAAGTTCTTTGCAATGGTAACCTGTGGTTCCCAGGTTGGGAACCGTAAGTTTCAAGGTCTGGGAACCGGCAGTTCCTCGCCATGGTAACCTGTGGTTCCCACGTTGGGAAAAATCAGTTCCAACCTTTAGGAATTGGAAGTTCATTGCAATGGTATCCTATGGTTCCTAGGTTGGGAAGCATGAGTTCCAACCTCTGGGAACCGGCAGTTCCTTGCCATGAACCAAACGCAAACATTCCGGTACCGGTCCATTAAGCAAAACAAAGCGTTCTGTACCGGTCCATTAAGCAAAACCATAAAATTGTAAAGAAGCTGTTTTCATATCATTTTGACGTGCACCTTTTTCGTGCAAACACATTTTTGCCGGCCCAGCAGCCGAACGCAAACATTCCGCTACCGGTCCATTAAGCAAAACAAAAGGTTCTGTTACCGGCTCAGTAAACAAAACAAAACAACATTAAGAACCATGAGTTCTAACTTTTTGCAATCAACAGATCCTTCCACTGGTAACGTTACTTTTTCAGGCTTGGAACCATGAGTTTCAAGCTTTGGGAGCCCGCAGTTCCTTACAATGATAGCCGCTTTGCTTCGAAAACATAAATTCTAACTTCTGGGAACCGGCAATTCCTTGCAATGGTAACCTCTGGTTCTCAGGTTGGGAACCGTAAGTTTCAAGGTCTGGGAACCGGCAGTTCCTTGCCATGGTAACCTTTGGTTCCCACGTTGGGAAAAATCAGTTCCAACCTTTAGGAATTGGAAGTTCATTGCGATGGTAACCTGTGGTTCCCACGTTGGGAAAAATCAGTTCCAACCTTTAGGAATTGGAAGTTCATTGCAATGGTAACCTGTGGTTCCCACGTTGGCAACCGTGAGTTCCAACCTTTGGGAACCGGCAGTTCCTTGCCATGAACCAAACGCAAACATTCCGGTACCGGTCCATTAAGCAAAACAAAGCGTTCTGTACCGGTCCATTAAGCAAAACCATAAAATTGTAAAGAAACTGTTTTCATATCATTTTGACATGCACCTTTTTCGTGCAAAAACATTTTTATGCCGGCCCAACAGCCAAACGCAAACATTCCGCTACCGGTCCATTAAGCAAAACAAAAGGTTCTGTTACCGGCTCAGTAAACAAAACAAAACAACATTAAGAACCATGAGTTCTAACTTTTTGCAATCAACAGATCCTTCCACTGGTAACGTTACTTTTTCAGGCTTGGAACCATGAGTTTCAAGCTTTGGGAACCCGCAGTTCCTTACAATGATAGCCGCTTTGCTTCGAAAACATAAATTCTAACTTCTGGGAACCGGCAATTCCTTGCAAAAGTAACCTCTGGTTCCCAGGTTGGGAACCGTAAGTTTCAAGGTCTGGGAACCGGCAGTTCCTTGCCATGGTAACCTGTGGTTCCCACGTTGGCAACCGTGAGTTCCAACCTTTGGGAACCGGCAATTCCTTGCCATGAACCAAACGCAAACATTCCGGTACCGGTCCATTAAGCAAAACAAAGCGTTCTGTACCGGTCCATTAAGCAAAACCAAAAAATTGTAAAGAAACTGTTTTCATATCATTTTGACATGTACCTACATTTTTATGCCGGCCCAGCAGCCGAACGCAAACATTCCGCTACCGGTCCATTAAGCAAAACAAAAGGTTTTGTTACCGGCTCAGCAAACAAAACAAAACAACATTAAGAACCAGGATTTTTATCTTTTTGGAATCAACAGATCCTTCCACTGGTAACGTATGCTTTTTCAAGTTTGGAACCATGAGTTTCAAGCTTTCGCAACCGGCAGTTCCTTACAATGATAGTTGCTTAGCTTCGAAAACATAAATTCTAACTTCTGGGAACCGGCAATTCCTTGCAATGGTAACCTCTGGTTCCCAGGTTGGGAACCCTAAGTTTCAAGGTCTGGGAACCGGCAGTTCCTTGCCATGGTAACCTTTGGTTCCCACGTTGGAAACCATCAGTTCCAACCTTTTCTATCTGGGGTCTATGCCGGTGTAATTTTACTGGCTTTATCGCATTATTGCAGGTAGCATCACAGTGGCCGTATTTTGGTTCTGTTCGTGCAATTTCAGAGTCTATACTCAAGAACGCAAGCAATGTGTAAAAGGCAACCCCAAAAAAGTATAAAAAAGTAAAAAAGTGAAATCCTATGAAGACAGTGATACTTTCATTTCTATCTTTTGGGGGTCAAAGTACGTGGAAGATGAGTTTCCGCTTGTGAAGTAATTTCCCTTCCTGAGTTTTGTCCAAAAGTCTGTGGACGAGAGTCCTTCATAGCATCGGGTGTCATGGTCTGTCTACCCATAGCTGTTGCACCACTGCAAAATACAACATAGATTCATGAACAAGGGAAGGTCCCCTCCTAGGCGTCGTGCGTTTTTGAACACACAACGCCTTTAAAACCTGCATTTCGTGAAGGTTTTAAAAATGCATCTTCCAAGAGGGGTCTCCGAAGTAACTTTTTTTAAACCTCATCGCGCATACATTGCTTTCAAAGCTTTGGACAGGTGTGAGACACAGTCGTTCTTTTCTTGAGATCGCCACTGCCAACTTCACCATGTAGTTAAAATATACAACATAAAATATATATATATATACATAATACATATATAGACATATATATATATAATACAGCAAATGTATGTATGTATGTATATATATATGTATTTATATATATATATGTGTATATGCAGTGCCTTCACCATGTAGTTCATATATCTATATATATATATATCATATATGTTCATATCTATATACATGTCTGTAAAATTCTGTAAATGTATAAAGTGAGCATACATTCATCCGATTCTTTCCTACCTTCGTTTGTCTCAGACATGAGCCAGAACAACGCAACAAGCAAAACCAAGGTGAAAGCCATGAAACAAAGCAACATTCCACTTGTGACACGAAGACATGAACATAAGCAACAAAGACGTATCGAAAATGTCTGAACCAAACGAAAGACATGAGATCATTTTATTTTCAAAACTATTCTAACAACACACAAACAAATGAACAGCGTGTCAAGAACGCACATGCAGGAACGTTAATAAACAAGAACGTTATCATCCCCCCCCACCCCCCCACCCACCCCACCCCACCCCACCCCCACCCCACCCCACCCCCCCCCACCCCATCCCACCCCCCCGAAGAAACCCTGGCATGCCAACACGCAACTATAAACGCAACAGCGTCAAGAAACACAGCAAAACGCGCGGAAAATGCAACGACGCACACGAAAACAAGGAAGCACGTGAGATGACATGGATGCTTCGACAGTGACGCAAACATGAAAAAATGACAACACTCCGCGACGCCCTCGCGGGGACATTACCATGAACAACGTCTTCAATTAGCCCCAAAAAACAGTTCAAATTCAATTATTCCCTACGGTCCGTAGGGGCAAACCAAATTTGGCGGTTTTATGTGCACATGGCTGATGTAGAAAGGCATGTGAAAAGGAAAAAAAACTACGGTATTAGGTCGAAGGAAAAAGCTTGCCCCGAGGTCCTCAACCTATTTCAACCTCCACACAAGGTGAACCTGACACTGTCCTAGTCTGCCCATTCCAACAGCTGGGAGCTCCAGCAATGGTGAACATTGGCGAAATGGGGTTCAATCCCTCATAGACCTGCACAGTTGCCACAGCTGCCACAGTCGCCACAGTTGCCACTGCAGTTTGGTGATCAGGAGAGTATCACAGGTGGATGAGAAACTTCCCTACGGATGCCTGGAATAGTCCGAATAGTGTATCAAAGTAGGGACACGGATCGGTAGGAAAAATTGACGGTAGATCAGTAGGTCAGTTGGTGGTCTTATAGGACTGCAGCGTTGTGCCAAAAAATAGGCTGGTTTTTGTGTCACTCATTTCGAATCCATGTCATTGATCCTTCAATCTGGTCTTTGTCGCTAACTCGGTCCTATGTTTGAAATTTCCGGCCCGCCTCATGCGGTTACTACTGGTAACTCTATTTAAGTGTGGGGACAAAACTGAGTCAAGAGATGGTGTTTGGTGGTTGATGGTGGTTGATAGTGGTTGATGGCGGTTTTGCTGGTTGCTACTGCTTTGTAGCTTCAGCCTATTTTGTGATGATGCGAATCGCCATGTCTGGCTGCCTTGAAGACATCCTCTGGAGTTGAGTACAACTTGTCCTTTGAGGCACCAGTGTTGTCAACTCCATCCTGGCCACTGAGCATCCCGGGAAGGTCTCAAAAAAAAAAACATGCCCTGATCGGGCCAGAACTCGCCAGGATCTATCAATCATTTTAGGTGACGGGTGAACCAAGAAAACGGGATAGCGACCCTCTGAGGGCGACTCAGGAGAAGTTGAAGGTCAAATTTACATGAAACCTGCTTGTTTTTGCCGGTTAAAACAGGTTGTTTTTCCTGTGTAGAATTTCCCTTCGATCAACCCAGTGACGAAATACTTTGCAACAGTCTTTTGCCTTCCTTTTCACTCTTCATGCAGCATGTGAAGCAAGATTTCCTAAGATAAGTGCAGTGGAGCAGTCAGAGCAGAGAAGCTGAACCGTCCCACCAAAAGCCTCAACCCCACCAGTGATGCCAATCCTGAGAGCTTCAGAAAACCACTGGTGGTTTCAGCCCTTGGAAATACAGGAAATGATCCCCGTGTGCAAACATTGGCACTTGCAAAGTCGGAAACAGGTGTAATCTACCGATGGGACCTATGGACTTCATAGTGGCGAAGAGAAACAAACTGGAAGAAAATATCTGGTGAAATAGTCGATCGTCATCCACGAATCGAGACTGTTTGAAGCCCCAAACCAACAAACTACCCCACTATCCCCACTATCCCCACTATCTCCCAATGTCTGATGGGTTAGCACCTGTTGAACCTGTTGCCCTTAGCTTTCAGCTAAGGCTGTCAACCCAGTTGTCGACCTTTGCCTTGGATCCCTTGGATCCCTTGGATCAGTCACCCCAGAAAACTGGCCAAAGCTCTCCATTTCCAGAATGCACTTCATCGGCGCCATCCCTTGGAACGTGGTGACTGGGCTACAGCTGACGCCATCCCAAGGACCCAAAGGTGTCCCAGGTGTCCCAGGTGTCCCGCGGGATCCGAGGGATCCGAGGGATCCGAGGGTCCGGACGCTTCAAGTATTTCTGGCAGATGGCAATGTTCTCTTCGTCCACTTCCTCGCAGGGTCACGACCAAAGAACTCAGGCACGCAACATCACGCTGCCCGCTGACGCCCGAAGGGCACCTCCGACAAGTCCAACATGTGGGAGGAAAAGAGCGGCTCACCATGCACTTTAAAGTAGCCCTGCAGTTTGGAGCGTGGCTGATGGTGGATTTAGAAAGTCCCCATGTGCTCCGTGTATAGTATATTTACCTACACTCGGGTCATTTGTGGGGTAAATATTGGTAAATATTGATAAATATTGTATACATGGAGCATATGGGGATCAGCGAGCGACCGTATGTCTTTGGACCCCAACAAATTCTACAGCATTCTGAAAAGGCCCCTCTTGGGAGAAAGGCCCGTCTTGCAACGGAGGGTGACGAAGAAGGATTTGGAGAGAAAACCGATTTTCCAGCAATACTCTTTGTTGATCTTCGTTGTATTTCCAAGAATTTAGAAAGAACACCTGCTACTGAGACCCAAGTCTCGGAAAGTTGCTTAGAATAGTTTTCAAAGAATTTCCAGTCTCTATTTCCAAGAATTTTCCAAGAAATTCCAAGATGATGTTTCCCAAATAGGAGTTGTTGAGCTCACGGTCTCGTAAGCCAACACAAGCCACGACACAGCTGATCTGCACGCACCAAGTAGCTCCAGTCAATTCTCTGGGAGCACACGAGTCACTGACAATATCAATTGCGATCAACATGGGCCCCTTGATATTTGCATGATTTTGCATGTTTATGTATATTATATATATACAATACATATAAATATAATATAATGTATAATACACAATATAATATAATATGTGTATATATATATTAATATATATATATACTATAATATATATAATATATAAATATATATATATATAATCTTCCTTGCAATTGCTATCAAGATCAATGACGCATTTTTTGTTGGATGATTCAACGTATGGCCTAAGTACCAAGATTTATGGTTTTGTATTGTACCCAAAATCCCCCAAATGTCTGATCCAAAATCTGCCGTGCTCCAAATGTCTGATCGCCTCGTCTGCCTCCAACATACCATCGAACCATGGCAGTAATTTCTTGGCACAGTGGTCGGAGTGCACGAAAACCTTGGAACCATTGGAACCATTGGAACCATTGGGACCATTGGAACTTGGGGAACCACTTGGGATGTTGGAATCGTTGGAAATTTCTTACCACCTGGAACGTTGAGGAAGTAGCTGTGGTTGTGGGGGGCGATGATCGAACTTCAAAACCAGACTGGTGGTGTCCATGTTTGGGTTACATTTCATGTATAACTTGGTTACATTATGTTACATTTCATGTATAACTATAACATTGTATAAAATTCTATAAGTTTATAACATATCGGATTGGTATGGATTCGTGGTGGTATATTATTTATATACGAGGTGTATAATGTGAATATGACCCAGACTTTGGCACAAATTGCTGGCGGCGTTGAGATTGTTTTTTTACCCCAATCATTGTACAGACAAAGCAATCCAGGAAACCTTTGCTGTCAAGGAAACCTGCCGTGATTTTCAAGACATGTGGGAAGGTGATTCTGTGACTCCATGTCCTGTGACAAACCATGAGTTGATTCAGCCATTGGAAGCTCGGGGATCTGGGCTTGCGTAACATTGCGGGTGAAGATGATCTGTGTCATCCGCACCGTCATTTCATGTCATTTCTGTAAGGTTCAACCGTAACCCACCAAAAATTCAAACGGGTTTGGATGGAAATGTGCATAAGAAACCCTAATATTTACAGGCAAACAGTGGTTGCAACCGGATTTTCCCTTCAATCAATTCATTCAAAACATCCAATGTAGCAAAATCTGTTTCTGAAAAAATGGTAACAATAAATCTACCATGTTTTTGGGAATCTTGCCAGTTGAGCCATTCAAAATACCCTCAATCCCATCTTTTTGCAATACTGGTTGAAAACGCTTTCCCGTTCACTATGGCTTATGTAGATAGTCCCCCAACCCAGACTATGGCCAGTATGGCTTATGTAGATAGTCCCCCAACCATGGCTTTCTTCATGTTTCTTCATAATCCCCATCCCCATCCGGGCCCCAGAAAGATCGCTCGGCTCGCGACTGGAATGCCATAGGCGGGCGCCACGGTCCGTACGAACTGGGCGCCGGCCACAGCTCCCAGGATGGAGGCCTCCAGCTTGCAGCCCAGGGGGCCCAGGGGGTGGGGATTCATCATAGCGGTTAAAATCACCATTTTATATAGGTAAACCAACTGGAAGTCACCCATTTTCCAGAGCTATTTTTTAGTTTACCAGAGGGTATTGAAAATGGTGACTTGATGATGATTGAAAAGGAATTCATCAGGATTTTGGTCTAGGATTTGGCGTTTCCGTCTTTCTTGGGGGTTAAGGACAAAATATGACCATGTCACCATGTCTCTGAAATTGGGCTACACCGTCCAAATTGCCATTCATTCACCCAAATATCAATGGGGATTCAAGCCACATCAACCAATCCTTTTTAGCCCCAAATTACTAAAAAACAAAGCAGTAGACAGTAGATGAAAGCAATTCTGGCTTTATCGATTATCAGCAAGAGCAAGAATCTGGAACAATAACCAATTTGCACAATATATGATCAGTGTGTCTGAAAATAAGGTACAGCCGATGTAGCTCATTTTTTCATGGTCAATCATCCCCAACCTCCGGGATCCTTCACCCTGGATAGAAATGGCGAGATGCGATCAGATGCGATCAGCTGCCGCTGTGATTTCACATGAATGAGCCATAGATTCCATAGATTCCTCCCAAAATATCCCTGGATTTGATTCAGAGTTTGGTGCCTTGCTATTCTATGGAGTTACATGGTAGAAGAGCCCTGCTGGAAGGCGAAAAACCCCACGTCTACAGAAAGTCCCCTGGGCATTTCCCACTGATATCCATGCGGTCGCCAGTAATGTGATAGTTCCCCAATGTCACAAAGCATCAGTGAATGGCTTGCCATTTCATGAAAAAAAGACTGAGTAGATTCAGTAGATGTAGATTCGTGGTTCCAAGAAAAACATAGGAAAAAAACACCATGTTTGGTGCTGTTAGAAACATTGGGAACCACATCAAACACCAAAAATGGGGGGACGTGGTTGAAAGCCCACCTGCAGCACCCCCTTCTCGTTGGGAAGGCTCTTTCCGGCCATGAAGGCTGATCCGCCCTGGAAATTTTGCACCATCGATGGGAACAAATGTTGATCCTACCATCTAGTAGACAGGAAAACCATGGAAAACCTCTTGAATTTGCCCTCCGGGATTGCAAATGCTCGGGACTGAACCAAACATTGCTGCTTTAATGGGCAAATTCCTTCTGCTTGGAATCGTCATCGCTCATCGTTGAAATTCTCAATACAAGTGCTGGCATGATCCTATTGAATCCTATGCAGCCTATGCACATCTATGCGCCATGCACTTTCAACTTCCAATCATCATTCCGACCGTCCCCAAAGTCCCCAACAGAAAACACCCCTGCTTTGCAGCCTCCGAGAATTGGATCATGATGGGTCGGTTCAAGGCCTGCAGGAGCAAGCCAGATGTTTCACTGGGCGTACATAAGGGAAGATCTACTGGGAACATTAGGTTTCACCATGTTTTTTTGGCTATCAAATATATGGATTCTAAGGCTTTCCTGCAAATTTTGCCAACGAATCTGGGAGATCCAGCCAAGTTTTGCAGAGAGTTGGTCGAATCTGGGAGAGCCCTGCATTATCAAGTGTGAATCATGGATTGATACACTGTCCAAAAGAACTTGCTGGAGAATGGCGACACCCCTTGAAGATTATTCAATCTGTGTACCTTCACAGTGTTGAAATGTCAAATCTGAGTCCGCCCCGTATGCCTGTTATGAGCAATGCCTAAAACACCTTGGTCCATGCCCCGCCCTCTCCTATCAATCTTCGTCAGGCATTATATAATTAAGTACCCAAGACAGGGAAGATTTCCTCTCAAAAGCGAGCAATCTGCTTGATGATAACATGGCCATCATGTTAGATACCTGCAATTCATGTTCTTCTAGCTGTAGGATTCATATCCCCGTTACAGCACAAGAATCTTGTACTAAAGTCCCCAGCCATCACCAGCCGCTTTATGTTGGTCAACCCAGTCCCATCACGCCTTGCCAGCCTCCAGGACCGAGTTGATGGTGCCTCGGGATAGGTCATGGAATCTGTCATATGATCTTTGTGTGCAAAGATACATATAGGGTATATAGAAATATCCAGAGGTTGCCATGTTTCAAAATGGCACCCTGTTAATGGATGATAAGGCCACATGATAAACCATTGTTTCAAAATCCTCAGAAATGATGATAAACCATGATAATTGATGGGCACCCTGTTTTTGACAAAGCCGGGAAAATGTCCTCGGCCCAGGTGCAGCCCAAGATGCTGATTTCGCAAGAAAAACTGGGGATCATCAAGCCCAGACGACTCCAATCTATGGAATATCAACAAAAATGTTCCAACAAAAGCTGCTGAATATCAATTTAGCTGGGTATCAGAATATCAGAATATCGTCAGCCTGTAAATTCAGCAAAACACCGGGCTGCTGGTGCTGGTGCAATTGAAGGCCGGGATGGCATAGCCTCGGCGTCAGCCATCTGGGTGGACATGATCAGCAGGGACTATGAACAAAATGAGTTTGATTCAAGATATACCCTCTGGCAAACATACAAAGAGCGATTGAAAATGGTCCATTTAGTTCAATTTAGTTCGTTGATTTACCCATTCAACATGGTG